GAATAAAAGAAAAAAAATGATGAGTTAAAATTACCTAACTCTGGGTGTTACAGAAATTAAAGTAATAAAGACTAGTAAGAACTTCATGTTTAACGAAGCTAATAAAGCTGGATAAAATGGATACATTCCTAATATCTAGAGATATAGTTAAGCAATAAAATGAATCAAGAAGAAACTGATAACTTGAATACACCTATATTCAAATACAAAAATAATACGATCAAAGGTCAAAAATCAGAAATAGGACAAAAACTAAACATCAAGGGCTACACGATCCTTATGGCTTTATAGACACTTCTACCAAACATTCAAAAAACACATAATTCCAAACTAACATGCACTGTTCCAGCAAATTTAAAAAGGGACTAGTCTCCAATTCATTTTACAAAACTCAATAATATAGACGCCAAAATCTCTGGAAGCCAGAGGGAATCTCCAGTCAACTGCCTTCAGACTCCATCCCCACCACAGGCCCTCCTTCCTGGGGCTCCAGCCTGCCAGCCTTTGGAACAGAACTGGAACACTGGCCCACAAGTGGATTCTGGACTTGCCCTTGCCAGCCTCCATAATTCTGTGAGACAGTTCTCTGTAATAAATCTCTTTATCCTAGCCAACTGGATGGGCAAATGCAGGGGTGGGCAAAAGTAGGTTTACAGTAAGTACACGAAACAGTTTATTCTTGTACTATTATTTACTAACTACTGCATTATTGTCCATACAAATAACTGGATTTTTGCCCGACCCTGCATATACTGGATGTGTACACATATATACGTCCTATTGGTTCTGCTTCCCTGGAGAGCCCTAATAAAACAGCCTACATATGGAGAGGTACTTAACCAAGCAGCCATCTAGAAAAAGACAATTAAGTTGGATCATACCTTTCTCCACAAATTAGGATAAGAGAAATGTAAAAAAAGAAATCTATGAAAATATGATAAAATAACATGGGAGAGTTACCTTGTAACTTTGAAGTATGGAAGGCTCATACTCCCACTAAAAATAAAATCCAAAATCATAAAAGAAAAAAATAATTTTGAGTACATAAATTTTTTTAACTTAGAAGTCCCTCTGCATGACTCCTCGCTTCAAAAAAAAGGTCCCATCATTAATGTCAAAAGACACATGACAAAATGAGGGATTGTCATTAGTAACTCAAATCACACAGGTCCAGCCTCCCTAATATATAAAGAGCTTTCATAAATAAATTTTTAAAAGACCAACAACTAAATAGAAATTTTTAAGATAAAAGCAATATGATTTTAAAGTCCACAAAAAAAGGAAACACAAATACTTTTAAATATATACGATGTTCAACCATCAATCACAAGATAAATGCAAATTAAAACTACACGATCAGATTGGCAAAAATCCAGAAGCTTCATAAAACCATGCCTTTGGCACATATGCAAGGAAATTAGTACTCTCACACATCAATGGTGGGAGTATAGACTGGTACAAACCCCAGGAGGAACAATCTGGCAATATTTACCAAAATTATAGCTTCAGTGTCGCTTCCAAGGATGTCTCCTACAGATATACTTGTGCATTTGTGAAATGGTGCATATTCACAGTTTATCATGGCAATATTGTTTACACTGCAAATAACTAAAAATAATCTAAATGCCCACCAAAAGAGAACTGATTAAATGTATTATGGTATGTTCATAAAATGGAATAAAGCTGTATAAAAAAAGAATAAAGGACTGCTTTACATACTCCTTTGTAGAGATCTACAAAAAATATATTTAAGTGAATGGGGGACAGGGTTATAAAGAACAGAGTACAAACAGTATAATATGCCTCTGTGTGTGTAAAACTGGGGTAAAAATTAAAATACAGTATTTTGCTGCTCTGTATAAAGAAACTCCTGAAAGACATACAATAAATGAATGAAGTGGTTATCTGGCAAAGGATGGAGTGGGTGGTGAACAAGGCAAGAACTGTGGTGGGACCTTTACCTATATCCTTTCCTTGAATTTTTTTTTCTTTTTTCTTTTTAATCCTCACCTGAGGATATTTTTTCCATTGCTTTTTCAGAGAGAATGGAAGGGGCAGAGAGAGAGAGAGAGAGAGAAAGAGGGAGAGAGATAAAGAAACATCAATGTGAGAGAG